GTGTGTGTGTGTGCAATATACGTGTGCATGCACATACACACACATTTATATCTATGTATATATTCAATAGTGATGGGCCTGCTAAACTGAGCAGTGATTTCTCTCCTACAGATAGATGTATAATGCACACATAGTGATGATACCTAAGGTGTTTGGAGGTGGGGATGCATATCTTATAAATTTGAAGTTTTTATCAGGCAGAGCAGATTACTTTAAGCGTTCAATTTCTCAGCGATCCAATTTTATTAGGATTTACTATCATTTGTGCTGCACATCCCTGGGGAAATAATGCTTTGATTAATGTAATCCTGGGCTGGGATCCGCCACATGCCCCTCTCCCAAGAGATGGGCCCTGTTTGACAAACAAAAACAGAGCAGCAACTATTGCAATCTGCACTCACCTTTTGAAAGCGCACAGGCCAGCACGCATACACACACACAAAATATTACCCTCTCCTCCCCCCAGCCCCAAATACAATAGCAGCATCTCAAAACAATGTGCACTTATTTGTTTACACACAATGCCTCTGATTCAGTGTGGGCTGTACAGTCCAGCCCTCAAATGCACAGAGGCAGCCCAAAAAGGATCCTGCTCTGTCCCCCACTGAGAAGCAGAAACATCTCTGGGAAGCTCAATGTTTCTCTGTATTTCAGGCTCTCCTCAGGCTCCCAACATTTCTGCCTCTTTGTTTCCCACTGCAGGCCTTGCTGCAAACTGATTTTAAGCCTACTCCTTCAAACCTCTGGCAGCCCATGGGCCCAAGAAACTGTCCTTGCAAGGCTCCCTGGCACCCACCTGGGCGGACATGTGCCTGTCTAAATGGGCCCTGGTAAGTGAATCACTGCCAGACACTCTGCTCAGTTCACAGGGAGAGTGGGGGGACCCAGAAAACAACCTCAAACAGAAAGTCTGGTCATACATTTTTAAAGGGAAGAAAAGAAAGTATTCCTCTATCTTTGAGGGTTGCTGGGGTGTGAGCAGCTTTGTTCCAGTCACCCCCCTCAACTCCCTCCCCACCCCATCCCCACCCCCATCCCCCCTACCCCCCCTCCACCCCCCCCCCGCCCCTTCTGTTTATGTCAAAGGCTGACAGGAACAATAGCGTTTAAACAGGAATAAACATGCCCAGATCAGAGTCCAGCCCTGGAGAAAGCTCTCCCTTTCTTTGCATCCTTAAGTGAACTGGCCAGTGTTTCCCCCTTTCCTCCTTCTCCCCTCTCCCCCACAAAACGACGCACATCATTGACAGCCCAAATAGCAGTTTAATGTTGAATTTCTTCCCTCCACCCCGCCGGAACAAAGCGGGTCACACTGCACCTGAGGAGGACATGCAACCTCAAAAAGGCTCTGGTCGCACTTCGACCACTTTATTCCAAGTCCGGATTAATAAATCCAGGGGAAGAAGGAGGGGAGGGATCTCCAGGCTGGAGATGAGGAGGGATGAGGTTTGTGCCGAGGTTTTTAATAAGCTGCTGCTCTCTCTGTCCTTCATGTTTACCCACTGACCCCCAATACGATGACTCAGCGATTACCGAGCACTGGATGTCTGTGTGTGAGGGGCTGGGGGGGAATTCCTCCCCCTTTCCTCCTTTTCTTTCTGATGAAAAACGTTGCAATTACATTTCTGCATGCTGATCTGAGAGTTCAAATAACAAGCCTTAAATGCGTTATCAGGCGCTTGTTAAAGAGGGAAAAGGGGAGCGAAGAGAGGAAGAAATCCAGATGTATATGCTTCTGTACATGCCTGGATGTAAGTATGCCTATATATCTGCACACTTATACATGCATATAGATACATTTTTAAATGACAGACTGCTAGAAGAAGAGATGGACTGTTGTTCGGCCTGAGTGCCTTCACCCTGGCAGATGAGAAAACAGCACTAACCAAACGAGAGAAGAAAGACCAAGAGGTGCAAATTACTCCAGGGAAAAGTTATTTAGACACAATCTCTAGGTTTTCCCAGTGCAAACTGACTCTCCTACCGGGTTTGATCCAGTTTACCCGCTCCCCTTCTCCATCCCACCCTGGGGTGATTCACCCCTATTTCGCATTTTCCTTCTTTGAAGCATCCTTCTTTCCCGTCGCCCCGCCCGGGAGGGCGTTTTCCGGGACCCCGCGTGGCCGCGGCCCGCTCCGCGACCGCAGAAAGGCCGGCGGAGCCGGGGCCGCCCCCGGGGACGCAAAGTGGCGGCGGGCTCCCCTCCGGGCTTTCGGGTCCCAGCCTCCACCTCCCACACTTCTCTCCCCCCCCCCCACCCCAGCTCCTAGCAGGCGGCAAGAAATCGTTTCAGAAGTAGGGTGGTGGGACTGAATTTAGAGAGGGGAGGAGGAAATAAATGCAAGGAGATGATGAATAACGTTAACTTTTGACTGTAGGAGTCATGATGGAGTTGAGCGAAGCTGCAGGGAAATACGTCATTTAATCCCAGGGCTACTGAAGTCCCTTTTATCAAACGTCGGGATGCTGGAATTATACTGCTGTAAAGTACTTAAAAGTATCCAACATCAGGCAAATATATAGATTGGAGGAATGGGTGTAAAATGAAGGCACGTACAAACTAATCACACGACCGTGAAAACCCCAAGCGGATTAGATAAATATAAATAGATGTGCATTAAAAAAAAAAAAAAGGCACGATAAAACTGTAGCTGCTGCATTCACACAAGGAGAACAGACAGCGTGTGCATGTTTGTGTGCAATGCCAAAAAGAGCAGCCTTAAGGTTGACCTACTGCAATCTGCACTGAGCTCCTTAGACAATAGACAAGTTCAAATGTCAAAAAATCTAATAATAATAACCAGAGCTGCCAAACTGCACGAACTGTTTTCTGGTGTATCACAATTATTCACCCTCTTATCCACTAAGAGACTGCCAGTCCTTATGTGCGTAAAAGAAAATCTATGTAATGCATATGGATCTTTTTTTTTTTTACATGTGAAAAGCCATTGAGATGGCAAGCACGCAAATCGGAATGATATCATGTCTAATAAAAGCAGGGCTAAGGTTTTCACAGTCTCTTTTAAAAGACTCCAACTTGTAAATCCCCTTTTTATGTTGCTACATGCACAGTTATTCTGATAAATAAAAATCTACATGTTCAAGGGTCTGGATTGGAACTATATATCCCCCTGATTTTAACATCGGTGGGAGCATTAGGTTTCCATCATATGTAATATGTCTACGTTGAGCTCAAGTCAACAGATAGATTGTTCCATTCATTTGGCGACTCTCATTACAGTCTATGTGAGATGAACCCTGAGCACGACACATTGGGTAATATCAAAATTATGCAGCTGGGAAAGAAAGGACTCCTGTTTTAAAAGCTATCTTGCTTTGCATGTGCAGTTCTGTATTATTGTTCTAATTTATTACAGAACCCGAAATGCTTTGTTATGCTCAAAACAATAAATAAGGTTCCGAGTGAAGCCTTCAGAATAAAAGGTATGGATAAATGATCTGCCCGCCTATTGTGTTTATCGTTGTTATCGTCAGACTTTAAAAGTAATCTGTGTATTTTCCTATTTTCTCCAGATTGGTTAGTGTAATATCCCTAGTGCAGCTATCAAGGTGGTCATAAGAACTATGAACTACAGCGTGGGTAAGCTTGAAAAACCCAGAGCAGCTCACGTTAGCCAAGAACGCTACATATCTGGAAGCCAGTCAACTTCACGTTTGCAGCTGACTGCCGTATTATGCACGAATGTGTTTTACATATAGCAGACTGTATACGGAATATGTCTTTATGTTTAACATTTTAATTTGTAAATGCTAATTAGGCAGTTGGTCTCCACGGTTATATTAGTACATACCTAATCATTTCCCACTATAAGTAAATGAATACTAAATACGGTAAACACTTTCATTTCCCTACCTCCAAGACAGTATTGCGTCTACATCCATTTTCCAAAGGCGTCCATTCGGACAAATAGGCATTTATTAAAAGAAGGATGTGAAAAAAATGTTCGCGAAGCCTAGCCATGAAACAATTGGGGTGCCGTTGCAAGCATGGAGCCAACAATCTTGGCCGGACCAGACTCTTCCGAAGGCAGTCAGCAAAGTTTAAGTTTTACCGAATTAACTTGTTGCTCGTTTTAGCGTTAGTTTTTCACTTCGCTTGCGGTATCTCGCAGGCTGCTGCTGCTGCTAACTAGTGCGGGCATACAGCAGAACAGCCGAGCTGCTAACTCCTATTTTGTTTAAAATATAACGCAGGTTACGCTTGGAGGGTTGGGGGGAGGGGGGACAGAGGAAAGCTGGAGGGAAATCCGCTCAATCCCGACCCCGGGATGCTGAGCTTTCAACTCCAAAACCCTTCAGAGGCGAGAGAAATGTTCACTAAACTACGGCAAATCTCAAGCAAGCCACCACGTTTCTGAAGAGAACTGCGCTCTGGAATGTGTTTTACTAGTCTGGAATATTGCTAGTGCTTACTGCGCCAAACGCGGTAGGTGGAAAGTTTTGTTCATGTAAATATCTCAACCCTTTTCCCTCAAGGTCTCTACACACGGAGATTTGACTCCGTTTTCCAAATGAAGACCCACGAACACTTTAAATGAAAAGTGTAATTTCTTGTCAGTCGTTTTCTCTCTTTAATTACTTTTGTGTGTGTGTCTCTCTCTCTTTTTTTTTTTTTTTTTTTTTTTGGTGTGTGTGTTTGTGTTAGGTTTTTAGGCGGGCAGATCATCTTGCCAGGTTCTATCATATTTATGGGCTGTGCGATTTCCAGGGTTCCAATTGGTCTTTTCTTCATGGAGGCAAGAAATAAAACTTTCCCAGTCGCACGGAAACTGCTGGGGCTCCAGCGCGGGGAAACAAAGTGGCTTCAAAACCCCCACCCCGTGGCAGCAGTTCCCCCCTCCCCGTCCGGGGGCTGCCTGGGACATTCCCCTTGCAGGTGCGTTAAAGGATGCTGCAGCCACGCGGGTCCGCCCCTGCCCAGCATCCTGCTGGCGGACGGCAGTGAGAAACAGACGTGTATAAGCAGGAATACTACCAAAAAAATACAAAAAAACAAACCAAAACTCCCCTAAATTTATCACTTTCATCCTTTCTTGCAACCATTTGGTGAGGAAAGCGGAGAAAAGGGGCACAAGGCTGAGAGTACACGTGCTCGGGAAGGGAGCCAAGCTGTGTAGAGCTAAGTTGTGGTCGCCGTGGATGCTGTTGTTTTTAGCTGAGGATCACGTCTGCGAGTGTCCCGAACGGCGACAACTTGTGCCCGGTGTGCGAGCAGGGCGGGAGGAGTCCGGCGCTGCCTCTGCCGCTGGCTCCCGCGGACAGATAAGTCAGGAAGGGATGCGGGGGGGGAGGAGTGGCCAGCTTGAGGAGGGGAGGAGAAAAAAGGGAAAAGAAAAAAAAAGAAGAGAAAGAGAGAGAAGAACCCACTTTTCCAGGTTTAATGCGGCGATTAAATATTAAATTATGTTTAAAAAAAAAAAAGAGTAGTTTTATTGCATCTCCAGAGGTTTAAGCGCCTTATTCGGGAAAAAAAAAAAAGTGTGGCACCCCAGGTTGCCCCGAGCCGCGTGCCCGTGCCTGTGTTTAATTACCGCTCTCCCTCCCTCACAGGCCCCGGGTCCGTCGGAGGTACCGTAACCGACGGGAACACTTTCGGGGCGGGCTCTCAATCCGCGGCTCCCCGCTCCTCTCCCCCTGCGCGCCGCCTCGTCAGTCTCGGGAGTTCTGGGGCTGTCTCCCCTGGACGGGGTGTCCCGGCGGCGGGCCTGTGCCGGACTGTGGGGCCCGGGGAAGCCCGGGGTTGAGCGCAGGGACCGGGGGTACCCGGGGTTGAGCGCAGGGACCGGGGGTGCCCGGGGGTGAGCGCAGGGACCAGGGTTGCCCGGGGGTGCCCGGGGGTGCCCGCGGCGCCCCCGCCGCGGGGCCGTGAGGAGCCGGGACGGGCCCGACGGGCGGCGGCGCTGCAGGACGCCCCCTGGCGGGCGGCCGGCGCCCGGCGGAGCTCGGCCGAAGTTGGTTTTGCTCACAAGCCGAATCGTATAAAATTAACTACAGCCAATAAAATTAGCCTACATGTTTCAACCGTAAAAGTCCAAAACAAAATAAAGCTAGTTTTAGTGAAGCTAAGAAGCTCTGGTTTGGCCCCGCTCTCTCTGGCTTGAACTGGGGTCCTTTTATCTAAAGCCCAGTGCACAAACATATAGCTTAATGTGACTAGTGTTCTTCCTTTTATTTCTTTCTCTATGGCAACCAATATGTTCTGCTCAGAAATGTTCCCCCATCAAGGAAACAAATGATCTTGAGGGAGCAGCTCTATACGGCATCTGTTCCGATGGAGCACACAGAGTTAACCCCAGTCAAAAGAGACGCTGGGCACGTCAACAAGAAGTGGAAAATGAGCGATTCTTCCTCCCCCTCCCAAACTGAAACCTATACCTCCCTAGTTTTACAAGCCATTTTATTGATTTGGCTATCGACCGTTTCCAAAGAAGTAACTAATTCTAGGAAATTACAATGATCACCAGCTATTGTGTGTCCAAAAGAGCAGCAACAGAGGGGGGAAGGAAAAAAATATGCAAATAACACAGTAAAATTAAAATAATAAAGTCATATATTGGGATATTTAAGCCTCGATAAAGTTTTCAGGAGCAGTATCTGGCCTATTAATTTAATCCTACATTATTTATCACATTTTTTATCACACTGACCTAAACGCTATAAAAGAGTTTCAGATCATTAGACTACACCTCTCAATTGGACGGGATTCGGGGAAAGCAGAGAGACAGGCAAGACTGTCAAGAGAGAGAAACAAAGTGAAATCTGGTCTGTAATCCTGCAGCCCCAATCTCCTTGGAGAATAAAATGAAGGGATGTCCTGGTTAGTTTTGATTGATTATACTCTTTCTGATGGACTTTCACTACAGAGCTCTAGATGTTGTGCTTAACAGTCTGTTCCCTAGTTACAATATTAACCCTCTGCGTGCACCGCCGCTCCGCACCTTCCCCTGTCTCCCCCCGCGCCCGTCCCTGCGCCGGCAGGTGCTCGGGTCCCCCGCGCCCTGGCCCGGCCCCGGCCCCCCCCCCCCCCCCCCCCCCCCCCCCCGCCTCCCCGAGTCCTGGTGTTACAATAATTAACAGTGCCCAGAAAAGTGAAGTAGTAACCAGAAAGACTTTCCAGCTCTGAAGAATTGCTTTGCTGCCTTGAGCTTTGGAATGAATTCATGCTTTTAATGTAATATTTCACTAAGGTGCTTTTTGTTGCTGTTGGGATTTTTGTTTTCCTTTCCCTTTCCCTTTTTTTTCCAGCCTGTTTCCTTCCAGGCAGTTGCCATAGGTTTCCCTGTCTTGTCCTAAGGTTTTGAAAATATATATCCAGAAGACTTTAAAGCAAACAAAAGTAGATAAAAAAACGTAAAACACTTACCGATCATACTTCCAGGATTTAGAGAAATTTTTTTAATTTTTGATTTTAATAAGGTGACAGGGGGAAAAAAGCGTGTTCTCAACTCCAGCGAAACGATCCATGTTAAGATTTTCCTTTGCACTGACTCCACTAAGCCCCGCTCTCCACTAGTCTATTATTTTCACCAAAATATATGAAAATTTATGCAAATGAAAATCAGCACTAACTGTTCTCCCCTTGTTATACTTTGGATTTTTTTCCAGACAAAACAATCTCACTCTGCAAGGGAGGGGGTGGGAAGAGTTGGGGAACGAAGTTGGTTGTTTGTTTTTTGTTGGGATTTTTTTTTTTTTAAATAAACGACATTACTCCATTTCAAGCTTTATTTTTTGTTGTCGCTGTTATGAAGGTGTACATTTTTTTTTTATTTTGAGGGGATTTCTCCACCCCCCCACCTTCCTTTTTTATTAAGAAAGTAGATCTGTTTGCAGAGGCGCTATCACGTTTCATCAGGCCACCTGAGACGGCTTTTGAAAGCGTGTACTGTGAAATTCATAGCAGTAATTTAGACAAAATCCTCACTGTATATTAATGAAAGACGGCCCCATGGCACCGTTCCTATCCTCCCCATTCAGTGTAAACAAAACCACGAGACTCACTCGGTTTTTGAGCCTGATCCAAGCAAAATCGGCTGGAAAGGAAAACATGGGGTTCTGGCACTGACTATTCAAACGTCTGCACCTGGAGATCTCAGATTTATTCAATGAAATCTGTGTTGGATCTTTTATATATAAAAAAGAAACCTTGGGAGGACGCACGGGAACAAATATATATACATACATATATATATATGTGTGTGTATATATATGTATATATAAAATCATTATGTTTGGTGTTTAGATACCAGCGCCCTTCGGATGCGCACGATTCACTTGAATGTTTTTTCTAACCCGACCTACCATGGTATTTCGTGCTGTGCCAGCCGAGGGCTGGAGGGAGCCCCGAGCACCGGCTGCCGAGCGCGGCGGGAGCGGGGCGGCGCGGAGGGCGCTGCCAGCGGGACGCGACTCACCGCCCCCCGGGCGTGCGGAGGAGGGGAGCCAGGTGGGCAGGGCCGGGCGGGGGGCGACGTTCCCCATTCCCGTGCCCACACCGCGCGTGTTTCCCTCGCGCGAGTCCCCGCCACCCGGGGAGCGCGCATGGGACGGCGCGGAGGTCACTGGCAGCGCCGTGTCCCCTCCGTGTCCGAGCGCTGTTATTGCACCGGCAGTCCCCGAGGAGCGTTCAATTTGCCCTTGTTTTTGTTGCCACTTTCTCTTTTTCTGTGGTTCACTGAGGTTGCCTGCGCGCAGCGTTTCCGCTCGGTCGCATCTCTCCCCCGCGCCCCCCGCCTTCCCCCGCCCCCCTTAACTCTTTCCGTTGGACGAGAAATAATACAGCGTTTCATGCCGCGGGGCTGGTTCCCTTCGAGTAGACCGCGGCGCGCAGGGCAAGCCCGGCCGGGGCTCCCCTCGTCACCTCCCCCGCCGACGGGGCGGCCCTTCGCCGGGGCTGCCGGGCCGGCCTCCCAGCATGACGGCAGCGGGCGGGCTGCCGGGGTTCGGGGCGCACCCTGGGGTGCGGGGGCGGACAAAAGGAGGAGGGAGCGGGCGGGGGGCGGGCGCCTGCGGGGCCGAGCACCGGGGAGGGGCAGCTCTGAGCGCCGGTGCGGGCACTGCCGGCGGGGGAGGCGGGTGGGTGTGCGCGGCAGCGGCACCTCCACACAAACGCCCTTCCGACCCCCGCCCGGCTCCGGCGTCGTTATTATTGTCGTTATTACTGTTGTTATTACCGCCCGCTCTCGCCCCTGCCCGAGAGGCGACGGCGGGAGAGCTCCGAGGTGTGTGTGTCCGCCGGGCAGGAAGAGTTAAAAGCCGGAGGGAGG